AAGAAGACAGCTGCTTGGGCACTAGTTGTGTTTCAGTCTGAAGTACATCTAATCTTTATTGATGTATTTGATTCTCATGTGCCAAGTGCAGAAAGTGTTGCTTTAGTGGGAAGATTTTTTTTCCCCTTTTAATATTAATGTGTAATTTTGGCCAACAAAAAAAAATTTAGAAAATTATAGCAGTTCTCAAAATGCATTAGACTTAAAATCCAATAAGTATACCCAGTGCTTTTGTATGAATCCTCCTCAGTTTGTTGCTTTTACAGGAAGCACTCCTATTGGAAATCAATCTCAAGCATTTTAATGATCAATTAATTCTGAAAGCACCTTACTGTCTTCTCATCTGAAGCTTCAACATTTTTCCCTTGTCTACAGTTTTTCCATTTCTAGGTCTGACACCTGTGATGAATTTGGTCTGAGTGCCTTAAGTTACTTGTGAGATTTGAGCATGTTAGCTCTATGTGCAAACAAATAAATATTTGTTATTGTATTGCTTGAACTGTTTGCAGGGAGTATGGGCTGGGTAAATCCACATTATGCTGAAATCAGTGAACAAACCTGCAGAGGCTTTGGGAGCTCCAGAGAACCTTCACCCACAGGTTTCACTGCTCAGACAGTCGTAGGTGACCAGAGGAAAACCACGTGCTCCGGAAGCAGCAGTTGCCAATGCAGCAGCTCCAGCTGTCCAAGGCAGGGCAGCACTGCAGTGTGGGGCTCAGGGAGGCTGCAGAGGAGCAGGCTGGGCACTGCCCACCCTGGGCACAGTGACAGCTGTCTCTGTGAACTCAGGGCTGTCACAGGAGGCTGTGGTCTGTCGTGTCTCAGAGAATCTCATTTACTTGTGACACAAGTCCAAAAGCACAGTATGAGAGATAAAATCAGTACCATAATTAAATCTCTTGTCTCTATTTTATGAGATATTGAATCTCAGAAGAGAATTTGATGAAAGAACTGGCAGAACTGCAGAGCTGAGGGAGGGCAGATGTGTCGGCAGCATTGCTTGGCAGTGTTTCCTCTGCCAGTTCTCTGTGCACTGGGAAAAACTGTCAAACAGGGCAGTATCACAGCGAGCAATTGGCAGTTAGTTTTGCATTCCTCACTGTAGTCCTTCCTGCACTGTGAACTAGTCTCTCTTATCAATTCCTAGCCTTCAATCTCAATTTAATGTGCTGCAAGATTCACAGCACAGATTTCATGACATTGTCTTACCAGTCCAGTTTTCATGCTACTGGTACTTATAGTATAAGTTCTTTTATAGAGGTTGTTTTTTATTGATGAACCTTATATTGGGGAGCACTACTTTAGTCCTGCCCAGAACAGATATAATTTCCAAGGTATCCTTTCTTAGAACAGGATACTCTTGTGAATGTTGTGTATCTTTAGCTAGACCTAGTTGGGATTTAGCACACAAGCTTCGTAGTTAGCTGAAAATACAAATGTTTCACTAGACTGAAGCTGCAGTGCACCAGTTGCTCCAACATTTCAAGATGTTATTAAAGAGACACATGGACTCGGAGAGGAATTTCAGAAGGATTATACTGACTGAGTACTCAGCAGTTGCTAAAATAAAAGTTGGCATTCAGATCATATTAACTAGAAACCAATATTCCCGAAAATGTTATGCAAGTAATTATTATATATTAGGTTGCCATATGTCTGTGTGTGTGCTGTGTCCAAGACAGCAAATGTCAAATGCATGGTCCTGATCCCCTCCTGTCGAGTGAATGGTAAAATTGCTCTCGTGCTATTTCAGAGGATGAGCGTGTTCCTGTGTGAGAGACACAGTCAGCAAGTGCAGTGATGAAGACATACATGTCAGTGGGATTACCCTAATACAGGGTATTAATATGGCACCAGGCAATGATGCTGCACCCAGATTGTCTAACAGTGTCTCCATTCCAGATCCTTTTTGGAAATGTTTAGAGCCCATTTACTGCATGCTAAGATTAAACTCCTGATTGAATGAATTACAGTCAGGCCTAAGATAAAATTACACTCCATGGATAATCATAGCTTGTGCTAACCTTTATTGGGTGCAGGGAGTGAAAAAGGATGAGGAAACGCCTGAGGCACTTAAGGACTGAGGCAGAGAAGGCATTAATAGTAAGAGCAGTTGTTCTCAGAGCACCAAACCCCCTGAGCTGGAGGAGAGGGACAGGGATCAGAATGAAGCACCTGTAATCCAAGGGGAGATTGTCAGTAACTTCACTGCCACTTGACTTCCACACTCACAAGTTTCAGGGGCTGGATGGATCCACCCAAGGGAACTGAGAGACTTGGTGGAAGGGCTCATTGAGCCATTCCATCATTGATCAGCAGTTTCACCAGAGGAGGTTTAGATTGGATATTTGGAAAAAGTTCTTCATGGCAAGGATTGTGAAGCACTGAAACAGCCTGCCCAGGGCAGTGGTGGTGATCCCTGGAGGGATTTAAAGATGTGTTGATGTGGCACTTGGGGACAGGGTTTGTGGTGCACTTGTCAGTGCTGGCTCAATGGTTGGACTTGATGGTCTTAGAGGTCTTCTCCAACCTAAACAATTCTATGATCTGATTTACCAATCAGCGTTACTCTAGCTATAGAAGAGATTTTTAAAAGGTAATCAGGAAAAGCCACTAAAAACACAGACCTGGAAAGCCTTGCTTAGGCAATATGCTCATGAGCTGCTGCTCTAGACTTAGACATTTTCATCAAAATCTTCTTGCTTTATTGTTAGAGATACTTGTAATACCTTTGCCCCTTCTCATTGTCATGCTCTGATCACTGGGGAGTTTTACCATTATGTAGAAACAGGTCTTTAAAGGTTTAAAAAGCAAGCAAAACAAAATCCCAAAAACATTTTTTGTTCGTTTAAAAAGAAACATTTACTTCCTATATATAGTCAGTAAATAAAAATGCCTGAGTGCCCTTTTTATATGAATTGAATTCTGTAGGTTTTTCCATGGAAATTAGGTCTAAATTTTACTTGGAAAGAGATTCATCAGAAGTTTAGAACTTTTATTCTTTTATACTGTCTTCCTTTTATATCTGGTTTCCTTTTCTTTGTTTATGAGAATATAATTTTTAAGATTCATTGTCAGAAAAATTTTGAAATGTACTGCAGCCTGTGTGTTGTGGGGAAGATCCTATGACTTTGTGTGTCATGCTCAGTTTAAAAAAGAAGAAGAAAAAACCCCCATAATATATTTTTATTCTGCTCATATGCTGATTACTGTTTCCATTAATCCAGCTGAACTGAAGTTTTATGCAAATATCTTACTAAGGGACTGGTATTTACTGTATTCTGCTCCATTTTTATGACAGGATAATAAATAGGAACTCACTGGAGTAAGCTCAGGATTGTATTTTGTTAGGCAGTTGGTAACAAAGCAATAACAATATTTTCTCTAAAATATCAGTGGTTATTTTACACATTGTTGAAGATACTTATCTGATTTTTTTACTTTTGGAGGTCCTATAACTACAGGTTTATTTGAATGCACAGTATATCTACTACATTACAAATTGGTTATAAGGTAATAAATTTCCAAGATGGCAATAGGGAATGTTTAAGATTAGCCCATTGTATTATTCTGCCAATTGTTCAGAACTGTTTCCCCTCTCCCTCACTTTCCTCTTCTCACATGCATCCTTGTAACTGTCCTGCCTCCAAATCATCTTTTCATCTCCCCCCCTTGCGCCCAGAGCCCATCCTTTTCCTCTTGAGTGTTTGATTTACTTGACCCAAGCATTCTCTTCCATTCTTCCTGGTTTTCAGAAACAAGAGATCTTCTCTACTGATATTACTGCTATGACATTCCCCTCTGAGGTTCCTGAAAAGATCTGGTAGTTTGCATTGGCTGTCGTTCATCTGCTGTGCTCAGATTTGGCAGAGTCTTCTCACAGAATGAGGAGCTTCTGAGAATTTGGGTTTGGCCTGAATTAGCATGGGTAATGTACAGAAAATTTGAGAGATCTTTAATTTCATGCAGACTTCTGGACATTAACTTGTGCTTAGCATCACAAAAACGTGTCCAGGGCCAACTCTTGCTGTGTCTTTTATGGCTGCAAGGGCTGTGACACAACCAAATCTCCTCTTTGGTTTTCTTTGGAGAGAGCAGAGAAGTGGAAGTTTGTGCAAGAGAGAGGCCACTGGAGCCTGACTTTCCCCTTGGGAGCGGGGTTAGGACATCTTTGGGGGATCCTGATGTACAGTGCCCTTTCTGCAATCACAACTATTTCTCCTGCTGAGGAGGCAGGTTATGAACTGTGGTTCTGCACTGCCAGAGCAGTTGTAGGAGATGGCAGGAGCAGACAGTGGTAGCAAGGTCAGAATTTGTCAGTAATGTCAATGACAGTTTCCCTTGGTCCTACCTAGGACTTACTTTTGCCTCGTCCAACTCAGTAAATTCTCTCATTAATTATTCCTTCTACATTTTAATTGTTCTTTTACATGGTCAGCAGATCGTATTTAGTCCTTTATAATAGTTTTGCATAAAATAAAAATGTTCTATGATGTAGATGCACAGCTGGGACTCAAGCATGAGAGTTTGGTGTTTGGATCACTCAAAATCCATGGCTTCATTATTTGCTCATTCACTTAAGTTGTCACATCATACAGCTCATGAATAGCATTTCGTTTTTGTTGAAACTTTCATACCTTCACAAAGACACTAAGAAATATCCCTAGGAGAAAAGTCCTTCTCAACACAATCTATTCCTAATGCTTTACTTGGCCTGCAGGTGCTCCTCCAATATTATCATTAATTACAACAGTAATTATCCTACTTGTGGAGAAAAGAAAACTTCAAATGTTTAGCGAGGCCCTTCCAATTTTTTGAATGCTTCAATTTAATCTTCCTTATTTACAGAACACTCCAAAAAAAACCAATGCCCAGGACCTGAAGAGGAAAAGCACTGAACAGCCCTGCAAACACTGCAAGGTACCCTCCCTCCACTGAGGCAGCTCATTGCACACCTCATCTCTCTTTTAATACAGTAATGGGAAAAGAAGAGAGAGACACTGTAACAAATCATCATCTTTATTTCAATTTCAGTTTTCCCTGTCATTAGGTTTTAGTAAATCAATGTTTATACTGAAAGATATATTTAATATGGGGGAAAAAGACTTTTATAATCAAAGAGTTTACTTTTAATTGCTTCTTCAGAAATACATTTTGATAATAGCAACTGCTCATTACAATACAAACCAGAAAAAAGCATTCATGTACTGTGGCATGGGAAGTACTGCCAGTTCTACATGCTCTACATAGTTTCTTTAAAATTTTTATGTTCTTTAGGCCTCAACAAAAACCAAAGCTCCTCTTCCAGGTTTGGTAGCAAACAGACTGTTATTCTCCACTGCTAACCTTTGGCCATCCGTTTGGTAATAAGCTTTTTTTACATTTTTTAGGAAAGTGTTCAGCTTGTCAGTAGGCACCATTGACACAGTGCAGCCACCCCATCCAGCTCCAGTCAGACGTGACCCAATGGCCCCAAATTGCCTAAAAGAAAATAACAGGGGAAAAAATCATGTAAAATAAACCAAAAAGAGGTACTTTGTCATGTATAAATTTTTATAGAAAACTCAGACGTGTTTTGAGTATTCCCATGTCATCAGACTTTTCTGATGTTCACGTCCTTGTATGTAACACTACAGAAATTTGCAGTTACCCTTTTGGACCTAAGAAAAGTACTGATGCCTTAAACTGCAATATAGTAATTTCTGTCAGCTCCAAAAGTCCCCTTGTTTTCTAAAGCTTCAGCATCAGCTTTTTTAGGATCACAGCACAGCTGAGATGAAGAAAGCAGGAGAAGAAAGGAATTGTGTTAGCAACATTCATAAGACATCAGAAGTGAAAACAGAAATACATGACAAAAATAACAAAAGAGGGTTCATAAACTAATTGCACAGGATGTAGGCATGCAAGCCATTTTATAATGTGGCAAAGACAAATAGCTCTATTCTTCTAGGACAGATCTAAACCATGCTGAAGATTCACAGGCTTCTGCATGACTACTGAGCATGCCAGTCAAGAAAAGGAGAGTTCAGAGACTCTCAAAAAGTCATAGAGTCACTGCGCTCTGTATAAATAAACTCACATAAACTTGTGTTTATGCGGAATGGACATAAGTGAGTATCTCTCTTTAGAGGAACCTCAAGAACTTAAGACTGACAGCAGTAGAGGTAAAGTATGAATGTAGTCCCAAAAAAAAAAAATGCTCTTAATGAGGAGTGTGAACAGAAAGAACAATGACAAATAAATGACATGCAAAATATAAACCATTCCCAGCCTCAAGACACTGGCCTGCTAGAAATGTCCTAGAGCAAATCCCAAGCTGTTACACTGCAAGACTCAGATGCCATCTCATTAGAATTTAGCACTGTTTTCAATAGTTTGCTTACCTGTGTTCCTGATATTTACTTGGAAAAAGTAGGAAAAGACCATGTAATGAATTACTTTGGGGCTTTTTTAACTCAATGAGAACAGAACCAGTCAGATTTAGAAAACTCTTCTGAAATCTTATTCTTGTGGGAGATCTAATCTGACTTAAAAACAAATACTTTTGATGTGTTTCCAATTGCCATGCATAGAGAGATTCACCAGCCCTAGAATATGTTAGAGGGAGAGACAATATCATGTGAATAGCATTGGAAAATGACAGCTCATTTAGAGTGGGCTGTTGTAATTCTTCATGTGTGCATTTTATGTTAAATAAATCTGGTGTAGTGCTGGGTTAGTAGAGGTTTAGGTCATATTTCAAGCAAGTACTTGCATATGTGTTTGATTCTAAACACACATCTCTTCTTGAACAGAAACACTTTCTTCAGTGTGTCTGTGTGGTGCCACCCTTCATATTGACTCGATTTTATGTTCATTCTGCATTTCCTGTTGATGTTTTATTTTACTTATTGTTATTCCTGTAAGCCACTCATCCTCTGATGCAATTTTGGTAGTTTCTAGTCCATGGAGCAACCTCCTAAAATGAGCAGGACCCAATCCAGTATCAGTTGCAATCAATAAGGATATTCCCATTGACTTTATAAGGCCCAATCCACTTTTCAGTGTCCGTTAAATCAATTGCCTGTACTCATTTTGTCTGTTATCTCAGACAGAACTTCGTATTTCAGATGGTGTCTGGCTTTTATTTTGGTAGGCAACCGAAATCCCTTCAGAATTGTTCTGAACCTTTTATTGATTTCATAATTCTCTGTGGTCATGCTCATGCCTCATTTTTACTGAGTCATTTTCGAATACTTAGTAGAAATAAAGCATCAAGTAGACAGAAAATATGCCTGTTGCAGAGCTGAAGTCACTGTGTTTCAAAATACTGTGGCTTAACAGTGTCAAATGTGGTGATAGCAGCCACCTGAGGCTGCTGAGGGACCTGATGGGCAGTGCTGCACCATCTGAAAACCAGGTACCTGGTACTACGTGGATCCAGGAGGGAGCACCTAATTCTATGTCTGCAGGAGATGTGGTGCCTGGGAGGCTTCTAGACCAAACACAAGGAAGTTCTCTTTGGAACAGGTCTGAAACTGCCTCATTAAAGTTTTAATCAGTTCAGTACTAAGCTGGACCCCTCTGGTAAAATGGGATTCCTGGCCAGACACTCCTCTTGTGCACTGGGATCTTTTGGAGAGGAGTCTGAGCAGACAATCCTGTGGATGGGGAGCTGCCCCACGCAGTGGGAGCTGTGGGTTTCATGCTGGGCTGTGCTGCAGCAAGCAGGGTCCTGGGGCTGGACTCCAGGGCTGGGGCACTCAGCCCCCAGTCCCAGGGTCTGGCCTTTGCTTCTGCAAATGTTTGTGTATCTTGTTCCAGTCTTCACTGGACATAAAGAGAATTAGCTTATGGGGGTGTAAATGAGTAAAAATATGAGAAGTGCAGCAAAGGAAAGAAGAATAAAAGAATAAAAGGAGGGAGTAAATAGGAAATCCCATAGTTTGGTATATGGAAACAGTGGGCAAGCCATGGTAGTAGTCCATTTAAAAAATAACTGTGCTTTTAAGAGGTAAAAAAACCCCAGAGCAATACTGTTAATTTGAAATACTTAAAATTATGAAGTAGCTTTTCAGAAGGCATGGAGTTAACACAGTAAGATTGAAATATATAAATGGAGAGGATTGTGCTTATTCTGCTTTGTAATTTAGTTTGCATTTGGATAGCATCTTTAACTGTTTCTGGCTTTGTTGAAATTTCAAATTATGCCATGACTGCAGGCTCTGCTGCTTTAAGAAAATCATCAGTGGAAATGGTAAGAGTCTTGAAAAAATGCAGGATTGTGTTTGCTATCATAATGTACCTGGATGTAATGTACAATCTGTATCTTTTAAAAGTGGTCAGAGAGGATTCATCTGTCTGTCATGTAAGAGGCATGGCTGGGAACACAAAAATTATCAGGATTTATAGCACCAAAAGATGGAGAGTAAGAAAATGAAAGTAAGTTATGTGCAACACTAAGGACTGAGAGATTTTCAAGGGTACCTAACTTACTCGGGAGCTCACATCAGATTTTTTGTCCCTTAACTGTTTAGTAATCTGCTGTGTTACCTGCTTTAGAAGACAAACAGGTAAACTAGCTACTAAGAGGATGAGGAGGGTTAGAGAAAGCACAAGTCTTCAATCTTTGCAAAATGAAAAAAACAACTGACCAACTCGTGGTTACAGTTTTCAGCACTACAAACCACAGCAAGTATGGATCCCTTTCTTTCTTGGCAGAGGTTATATACTAAAACATAAAGATCTAAGCAAAAGAGAAAACATCTGGATATGCAGATTATTCTTCACAGTTTAAACCTTGTAAGGAGAGAACAGAAGTAGACTCAGGCAATTCTGTGGAATGTATTTTTGGAAAAGCTTTTGAAAGTTACAGGGCGGCTGTATATCATCGTGAGTAAAGAATGTAATTTATGTAGTTCCTGACCATTTCTATAATCACATCAGCCAAGTCTTCCTGGAGTGACTAGTGATTTTATGTTCTTTAGGTTTTTTTATGTACAACTTAAGAAAAGTTAAGACTTTTTTTTCCAAAAATTAGATGGTGGCTTAAGCTGCATTCATCCAGAAGAGCTATACACTTTTAGAAATCTAATTACTGAATCAGAAAAAGATTTAATACTAAAATTCTAGAGAAGAAAGATGCATTTCTTAGGAAATATTCCTGATGGGACAAGACTGCAAAGAATAATGAACAAACAATTTACTTTTTTCTGTGCAAAGAATACAATAAAAAAACCTAGATGAAATAATTTTAATATATAAATTTGAAATCATTCCATCTGAATGACACTCCACTGTGGTACTTAGCTCTGCCATCATATACTGTGGGCTCTTCTGCTGGTAAATCAGAAATCTGATGTTACATGGGCACACACAACACTTTTTTCCTTTACTGTTTATATTTTGCTCCCTGGAACTGAAATGCTCCAATGAATTTTAATTTAATTTAGAAAAAATCCTAACTGCTGCTTTCCTTTTGGTGCTGTGGCTGTGCTCCTACCTGCCAGCCAGTGTACCCCTGCCTGAGCTGGCTGGAGCTGTGTCACCATGGAAGCACAGAGCTCAGCACAAATGGGGGACACAATTTCCATTCCTGTGCTGAGCTTCCTGCTGCCAGAGGCTGTCACTGCCATGCGCGCTGCTTTACTGGGACATGGCACAGGTAACTCTGTGTCTGCTGGAACATGGCAATGTGTATAATGGAGCATGGCACAGGTAACTCTGTGTCTGCTGGAACATGGCAATGTGTATAATGGAGCATGGCACAGGTAACTCTGTGTCTGCTGGAACATGGCAATGTGTATAATGGAGCATGGCACAGGTAACTCTGTGTCTGCTGGAACATGGCAATGTGTATAATGGAGCATGGCACAGGTAACTCTGTGTCTGCTGGAGCATGGCACAGGTAACTCTGTGTTTACTGGAACATGGCACAGGTAACTCTGTGTCTGCTGGAACATGACAGGGGTAACTCCACACTGCAGAGCACATCTGGCCAGGCTGTACCTGCTTGTTGTCCCCTGCCCAGGGCAGGACAGTTTCCTCCCAGCTTTCCTGAGAACAGGCCCTGTCAGAATGGGTTCCTCAGATCTGCCAAGTGCATTCATTGGATGGCACTGACTGAGGCACCAGCTCTGGGCAGTTACTGTATCAAAAGCAATGCAGATGTTAATGTAAGGCTCCTGCCCTGCCAGTGGTGCCTCAGAACAGGCAATGCCAATGCCTTGCACAGGATCAAGACTTTGTTGCCCAAGATCTTTGATAATTCAGTAGAGCTCAGTCTCTGTCTCCAGCTGGCCCTGGAGATGGTTCTCCCCTCTCACACTCAGATCAGCAGTTCCCTTTGAGCAGCTGGGGTAACTCTGGTGGAACTGTCCTACTGAGTGACTGTCACAGCTTATTGTATGATGTGGTCACTATGTGATACAATAAACTGAACACAGCCTGGGAGTTACACCCTGGACTGGGTCCCAAGAGAAGAATCAAAACTTGTTCTGCTCAGTTGCTATCAGTCTGTCCAGTGGCTATCAGGCTGCTTTGTGTTTTAGCACAAAAGAGTACGTGTATCCCACATGCAAAATAATCTGTCAATGTCCAGAAGTCTTCTGTTCAGTTTTTACGTTTGTACCTTTCTGTCTCAGAATGACATTTTGACTTGCACACATTCCATCTTGTCTGCAAAACAAATCAGACCCACCTAAATAATCATGTTTCATACTCAGTTGATTTACAAACCTGATAAATGGGTACTGCAATTTAAAAAATCCATGAGTGCAGAAGAAAAAAACATATGGTAAATTGCATGCTTGTAAAATTGATATTTTCATTCTAAGCCAGACTAATTTCTAAAGGTGGTAAGGTATTAATTATTTAATTTTTTAAACTTCAAATTGAAACTGTTTATTTTCTTCAAGACTGAAAAGATACAGAGAGAGGACGGGATATCTGCTTCTAAAAGACAGTGAAACACCATTTCTTGACCCAGGCCTGCAAACACTTGTGTCACCCCACATTTCCCTTCTGGCAGGGCCATAATGCTCTGGCTTAGGGCTGTTTCCCAAACTTAGCACACCCTTCTCCAAGGAGAAGAAGGAACAATTAGGGGCACAAATTAGGAGGGTGGCATCACCAGGGAGCCATTATGGGACTGTGGGGAGCAGGTGGGACAGGGTGGCTGGAGCAGAGGCAGGGATAGCCCAGCTGGGCAACTGTTTATTTCCCCCAGCCACTGTTAAAATGATCACCAACCACTAAATTCCTTCTATAGGCACTGGATTTAGATGAAAGGTAGTCTGTCCTGTGATTAAGTATACCAGAAAAAGAGAAATAAGGAAGGACTGAAATGTGTCCATTGTTTGATGCTGACCCTGCTGGAGGGATGAAATGCTGTGTAGGATGTGAGTACTAAGTGCTTGTTTTTACTTTGTGGATTAACACACGATTGTACCAGATCTCATTGTCCCCTGTAGCTGAGCCATGGAAACAACAGCCTGTGTATGGAGAGAAGAGAAGGGACAACCTGTGTGGGGGAGACGAGAAGGGACAAAATGGCACTCGGAGAATGTACTTTGGAATTGAGATTGTTTCCTCACCACCAAACTGAGTTAGGAATGGATCACAGCTGAAAGATTAATGCTGAGGCAGAGATGGGGACTTAATTATATGTGGAAAGCTCAGACAGCACAGAGAGAAGCAGAGTGTCAACCCCTGTAACAGCACACTTATTTCTTAAACAGCGAAATGCTGTCCAACCTATCTGATACCCTGGACAACTTATTTTTTAATTGAAAAAATGCAAATGGCATTTCACTACATTTCATTATAAATCCAAGACAACCTAAGATTGTAGAACAGCTCATTTATGCCCTGGAACTCCTGTGGCAGCAGTACTGAAATGGTTAAGAAACATGAGAAAGTTAGATTTAGATTAGCTATTGGAAAGAAATTCTTTCATATGAGAGTTGTGAGGCACTGGAATAGGTTGCCCAGAGAAACTGGATGCCCCATCCCTGGAAGTGTCCAAGGCCAGTTTGGATGGGGTTCTGAGCAGCCTGGTCTGGTGCAAGGTGTCTCTGCCCATGGCAGGGGAGTTGGAACATGATGATCTTTAAGGACCCTTCCAACCCAAATCATTCTATGGTGCTATAATTCTAAGAAATAGAGAAAAAGTAGCAGTTCAGATAGAACAAGTAAGATGATGTTTTAAGAAAACTACTTATGACTTCTTTTGCAACTTAAAAAAGAGTAGCCAACAGTCTAACGTAACACTTGTGACGATGAGTCAGACCAAAAGCAAAATCTGTAATAAAGCCATAAACCGTGGCTTTCATCTGAAAGTATTACACAGATGTCAGCAGGGAAACAATTGACCATGTAATGTCCCTGCAGGAGATTAATTTTGTAAGAAGAGACAAGAATACTTTCATTTTAAGATTGCAATAGCCAAGGATGTGATGTTTTCTCCTCAATCCAAACCGTATTCTCCACAGGCGATTACTCTTCCTTGTGGTCACAACTTACAGGCAGATGTCGACCAGGCGGTCCAGTTCAGGACAGCTGCACTCATACATCTCCCTGCAGCTGATATGGCTCTGCTTCATTAATTCTCCCAGCAGCTGGAGTGCATTGGCAGGTGCTTCACTGCAAATCTTCTGGAATTCCAGCACTCTGGCAGCTTCACTGTACACGTGCTTTGCACGCTGGTATAACTTAAAGGTGGAAACTACACAAAAAGAAAACTGCATTATTATTTGCTACAAAAGCAACATACAAAAACATAACAGAATTGTGGGGTTTTAGCAATTTATCCTTTATATGAGAACTCGCTAGGCTGAAAGTCTTCTGCAAAAGTTCTCCTACATCTTCTTTCAAAGCCCTAATAAAACATAATGTTTAGAGGTTATCAAAATGCAATGTACACATCTTTTTTCATTTTGACAGCTTCATGCACATGCTCTGGCTATTTCCTGTGCCACTGAACAGGCTCAGTCTCTCTTACTTTGCAGAGGCAAGGCAGAAGCTTAAGGGTTGGCAGTGAGAGCATTAGGGCATTAATCTAAAGCTCTCAGGTTTTCAAATAGCAGCAGAACACCTGGAGGGTCCCCAGTGCCCTGCAGGCAGCTGTCAGCCAGCACCTGCTGGCCCAGGGCCTTGTGTGTGGCTGCTCCAGGCCAAATCTGCAGCAACTGTGGAACTGTGCAGATGGACCTTTACTTGGAAAAAAACAACCACCAAACCACAAAAAACACCACCCAATTTTTCCCCTTTTTTTTAGCTTTTCTCAACAATGCAGGCTCACTGTGACTGTAGTTAATACTGGATTAAAGGTACCATGAAGAGAACAGGTGCTTTCACTTTGGTTTTCAGGGTTCAGTTTTGGTACAGGTTACTTGCCAGTGTCAGTGCTGCCTGTGTGGATGTGAAGAGATGCCAAGCCCAGACAGGTTAGTACTGACCTACTAAGATCAAAGACTAGTGCAAGGATTTTGGCTAAATTTTTTCTATTGTGCCATGAAAAAGCAATTCTGCTGGGAAGGGTCAGGGGGGTGTCCAAACCTGTGTGGCCATCAGCGTAGAGACCTCCACCAAGCCTGCATAATAGGGCACAAAAAGGAAGGAGATGGCTGTGGTTAAAGACACCACAAGCCACCCATATTTACAGGAAGGTTTGGTTTGCAACTAATATTTGAGAATTGATCTGCTGTTCCCAAGCTCGTGCTGTAGTCCATTGTTTTCCTCTCCCAATATAGTTCTGTTTGCTTTAATACCATGGCTACTATTGAGGAAGTATTGTTCACCAGAAGCATGCATGACATAATTTAATTTATGACTTAATTGGTGTGTGTGAGCTGTTTGGGTGGTAAATATTAATGGACTTGAACCTCTATATGGAGCACCTACTGCACTGTTTCCTTATTTTAGCACAGCAAAGCCTTGCTAGAGCACTTCAGAACATCCTTCATCTTCTTTTTTTTCTGCATGTAAATTCTCCTTTAGACTGAAGTTTCTCTCTCAATTCAACTCCTGGTCTTTCTTGCTTTCTAAAATGGCTGATAAAACTCTCAAATAGAGGTAAAAGGAGAAGCAAGACCAGTCCTGTATTTAAAACAGTACTTGCTGTCTGACCCAGTCCCACAGAGTTCCTACTTGGCTGTTCTGTGGAGACTGCCAAGTTCTGGAACCACTTCTGGCACTTTCGGTAATCTAGATTTGCAAATACATGTAGAAATCTTCCTTGAAAGACTGGAAATAAAATTAGGTTCAGTATGAAATCTCTCATGTTGAACACTCCAGGCAGCAATCCTTACAAACTAAAACTTCATCAGCACCTCTATAATGCCTTTTTTTTTCTCCAGAGTATTTCACAACTGTAAATGCTGAAAATAGTGCTGAGACAGAACTAGTCTAAAATGAGACAGAAACATTTAACATAGCAATGTTCTGCTACTGCTGATATTGCTTCTGCTCCTATTTATTTTATAATTCAATACAGCCTGCTACTGAGAAACCCTGTCCTGTTTGTCTTGTGAACAGGCCTTCTGAAAGCATTTCAAACTAGGACAGAAATGAGAAAATTGAGTGCCCCCCAGTACCATGGACTTGAGAGTATCACACAGGAAGAGCATATTTTAGTTTCTGATTTCGTTGCTGCTGGAGTTAGTTGCACTGTGTTTTGCAAAGTGGTGCCTCTATTTTGAACACTGAAGAAAGGCAGCTTGGCCTATTTTTAAGGATGGTTTCTCTTTAAATATTCTGTTCTTATGAGGCATTGTTTTAGAGCAAGGAGATTTCTAAATGTGCATTCGTTTAGGGAATATCTAAAGTTGCGTGAGAGATTGCCATAGCTCACACTCTCTTGTAAATCACCATAGAACAGTAGTAACCCAAAGAATGAACTGAAAACATGTCTGGTTTCAATTGTCAGGCCACAGACTTGCCAAAGGCTGTGATTGATTCGGAGACCACCCTTTGGTAGAGCAGTGCTCTACTGGCCAGATTACCTTAAAACCTCTGGGGTTGTGTTGTGCTCGTCATGATGGGAATTGGCAACCACAATGGGCTCTTGGCTCTGGCTGTGAGCCAGGGGACCTGAGCTGTGTCCTGGGCAGTGCTGGCTCTGGGAGAGCCTCTCAGTGGAGGGGGGAATTTGCTACCTTGACACAGCTTCCTCTGGCTCCTTCCAGGCAGCAAAGAGTGGCTGTGTGTTATTTGCAGACTCCTTTGCGGACGTTTACCAAATGTACCAGTTAAAGGCTGGGATCCTGGCATTAGCTATGGGTCTGTTATAGGCAGCATTTTATTTCCAAAAAATTATGTTTGTGTTTAAAAATTTTTGTTATAGCTTGCTTTTCTTCTCAGGCAGTTTTCTTTTCAGGCAGAATTATCTTCAGGATAGCAAACAGCTCGGTACTCTCTAAGACTTATTCTAAAATAACGATATGATTCACGCATTTTCAGCTTTCAACACCAAATGCCTCTGATAATACAGAAACCTTCTTCTATGTCTTCTGTTTGGATGGGTAGTCCAAACAAACCCTCTTTACCTAACTGAAGATAGAGTACAGATGATATTTCTAAAAGTCGCATCTATATTAGAATCTGTTAGCTACATCACAGCTTGTATATGAGCTCCATTGATTTCCTAAGCCATACTCACTCATTTCCTAAGCCAGTCACAGTTAAAAGAAACAAAACCAGAGGGTCCACACCTGATTAGTTTATATCTGAGCCAAGGCTGGAGTGCTCTGAAAGAGGAAAAATGGAAGCCCTCAAAGAAACCCTTGCAGGATTGCACAGAACTGGGTTATATGGTCTCACCTTCTGTGGTGCTCAAAGGAGAACATAAAAAGCAGAGTTAGGGAACAAATGCCAGATTCTTAAAAGCATGTGGATCCTTAAGGCTACTGAAATGTATGGAATTAAGTAATTAATTAGACCAAAAATGTAAATATACTTTCCTAATCCACTCAACTATAATAAAGGCCTGGTTTCTTCTCCCACTTCAACTTCCAAGTTCTCTGAGCTTTGCTCCTGCAGAGGATTTCTGTCAGGTCACCCATGAACAGGTAAATTGAGTTCACTTTCAAACCACCAAATGCCCTTGAAAGAATGGTGCCATTTTCCAGGGCACTAATAGATAGCACTGCAGCAAGAGCCTTCCAAGTTGCTGTGACCCAGCAGACAAATATTAATGAAAGCTGGTCCAAAATCCATATAAAATCCCTTAACAGACAAAAATCTGGGCTAATAGACCCAAGTAATTGTGGGTTAACTAAATATAACAGAAATGTTTACTGTGGATTTTCAACTGTATGGTCATATTTTTAATTTTAGCTTTACAAAAATTGTGCAAACCTGTCCAGTCCATTTAAAGGAATTTTTTTTTCTGTATAAGTAAATGTTGTGGCTTCTCAGCAACTCATATTATTTGTTACAACTTCAACTTCAGCAGATTCCTTTCTGTAGAGGCTTCCTGTACAATTCTATCTGACCTTTAGCTAAAGACCAACCTCTCCAGGCAATATAATTTTTTTCTAGTTGCTTTGGCAGCTTCTAAAGATACATTTCACTGGAGATTAATGAGCTACACATGGCTGATGGGACTGTCAGAAATTTACAACCGGAAAAACTCACGGACACGCAGTTGTGTAGGGGACAGCTTCTAGCACCATTACTCACGTGGAATTGTACCCTTCTCTGTTAGGCATCCTGCTGATTGAACATGATGAGGGTGAAGGTTTCTGGCTCATAATGTATATAAGAAAATGCTGCCAGATGGCTTTAATTTGAGCCAGATTGTGAACCCCCTACTTGAAGTGGGGAACAGTTACTCTACTGGGACTGCTCAAGTAACTGCTTGCAATCCAGCTTTCTGAAAATAAACCAGGGGACGAGTCATCGCTGGATTCGGTGACACATTTAGCAGACACCTGTTTTGAGATTATGATAACTACTGGTTTAAAGTGATTTTTCCCCCAGAGGACTGATGGCTTTACAGACTTTAGCAATTAATCTGGACTATTCAGGGCCTGTGCCTAACCTGTGGCACACCCCAAAGCCTCCATCTTTTAGGTATGGCATCTGCCTGGAGTAGCCATATCTCAGTTTCTGTGGTATGTCCCAAAATTTCTCCATGACATGGATCAGGGCAAGGCTGAACTAGGCACCTGGACCCTTAAACTGGAAAGTGCTCTGAAGCCTGTCAGTTTGGAGGTGTCATGCAGGACATCTGATGCACAGAGAGCTTTTTGTGCCCCCAAGCTGCCTGACAGAACACTCGAGACCCCCTCACCTACACCCATCAGTGCAGGGAGTGTGGAAACTGTTCCTGCACTCAGGTCACCATCAACACCCATGAATGGCTGTTCAAGCACCAGTGGAATTTGCAGCACAGATTTAGAATTCTCTTTCCAGGGGACAAATAGGAGTTAAACAGCCAAATCCACACAGAAAATGGATGCCTACTCCTCCCATGGCATTTCCATTCTCTGGTTTAAATGTCAGAATTAGATTAATTTTTTTTTATATGAAGAGGAAAAATGGGTTTTAAAAATACCTCATTTAAGAAGAAAAAACATTTCATGGTTAAAGGAATACAGTGTTTTACAGGAGAATATCCTTTTGTGGCGAAGCTTATAAATACTTAATGTCCCACAATCACCACACACTGTGTGTTCTGTGAAGCAGTTGAGTCCAAGCCAAAATTATGGCACAGTGCACCTTAGAAAGTAATAAATATTATTTTTCTAGAGATGTTCAGAAGCCACAAGTGCAATCCATGTGTAAACATTTTCAAGGGAGCTTTAAACTCAGGATTTTGAGTTGACCAAGGAACAACTGCAAAAAGTTTAGAGAGGATTTACACACCATCTGTACTTCTCCAAACATGGGGAATGAATGGGCTGTACAGTGGGGAACTGCAGAAATCCTTGAATACTTGCTGTAAAAGGGATGCAGAGTTGCTGTGGGCTTCCAGACCTGGCCTGGGACTTGACCAAAGCCAGTCCATAGAATGTTCCTTTGAGATGTGGAGTTTTTATCTGGTCACCCTTACATACTGATAAAACTTTATGTGAGTATACAGTACTGTCACTGGAGGAGTAGAGGAGGGGAAGCTGGACTTAAGGATAATTTAGTATGTACAGAGCACTTTTAGATCCTTAAACATGAGACATAATGCCAATACCAAACAGTATTTGTAACGATCCCTGGGCATGAAAAGATCTCCTAAATGTTATCGTTTGTTCTTCATGTTGAACAAAGAAATTCAGTGACACTCTGAAATCTTCTGAAGAGGTTACTTATTTAACAGGATGTTTTCTCTCTCACATCAAGAAGCCAGGCATTGTCATTAAAATAGAGTGGGAAAGTAGAGGGGAAGTAAGAAAAATGTTTTCTTCAAACAGCCTCTGATATTCCAAAGCCAACATAATGTGTAATCTGTATAGTGTGTAACAAACCCAGCAGACTTAGATTCTTTCTATGTCTGTCTTATTTCTTCTGCATGTTTTACAGAAATCTGTTATTTAATTTTATATTGTACATGCAAAAAGGCTTTCAGCATAAGCCTTTTTAATTGGTCTTATCAAATGAAATCACGGTCATGCAAGTTTAAGAGATTCTGTTCAGCAAACATCTGCAAATGGTATTCAGAGCTACAGTATAAAATTTCCTTTGAGTTTCTTCTATGGCTTTCATGTCTGAATTTTTCATCTAGACTTTTTTTTTTTTTTAAATATCAAGATAACCTGTATAAGCAACTCAATTTTGCAGAACTGTAGAATTTTGTTTTATAACCAGGTATAAGGAGTGTAAACATCTGTAAGTTAATAGTCTTGCTTCATGAAGGGGAGAGTGCATGGACTATGTAAGATTTACAACCTTGCAGCTTCCCAGGAAAGTGCTGCAGAGTGCAGGTACATGGTTCCTATATCCCTCATGTACAGACAGTACAAAGTTATCAAAACTCTTTCTATAGAGATAAAGAGCTGGCTTAAGATATCTTATTCCATCCTGGTATCTGCTGGCAGTGTAATTAGACAATAAGATAATCTCATACTGTCTGATATCACTGGGGTGCAAAACAAGTTGAAAATTCAGGACCTGGTCCTTGGTTAATATACAAAATTTACAATCACTCCAGATGAACAGATTATTTAAGTGTCAGCACAGATAGGTATGTTACAGATCTATATACATCCAATGTACACATTCCTGAAAGTAGTCTTGGAAAGGACTGATAAGGATGTAATTTGGCTCCAAGAGAATACAGGTATTAATGCTACAGAATGGAAACAAGGAAGAAGGATTCTGTGTAATTCTTAAAGGAAGATTCTGATCTCAACTGGAAACTTGTTATGAATGTGAACAAATTATTTCATAAATTCTCTATCATTTGATATTATTAGCAACCCTACTACATGAATCCAGGATTCATTTCATGTGTGACAATGGTCATGACTGCCTGGTATAATCCTAAACAATAATACGTGGGAAACACTTTAAATAGCAAATTGTTCATCTCCACCAACATCTTCCTAGAAGAAAAAGTAAAGTGACAGAAACTTTCTCAGGAAAGACTGAGCCTTGCTGCCCAGTGACTGTTTTAGGAAGTGATCATGTATTTATCAGTTAAGAACAGAAGCACAAGCCCATCTCTGCTGGTCTTGAACACCAGTTAAGCAATCTGCTACTTTCATAGTTTTAGAAACAGTTCAATCACAATCAAAGTTTGCTCAATTTTAAGTTAAAAGTTAGAATGAAAATATCAATTGATGATGGTATCAATTCTTTCACTTCCCAACCAAGATTCCAGCCAAGTAGTCTGGCAAGACTTCCACTTGAACTACTTATTAATGCATAAAACTTTTATATAATACAAACATTGTACAGTAAACCCCACCATTTCATATATGCTCACCATCTTGCATGTTTTGACTAAGGATCTGAGAGTGGAACTCCTCCAGGCTAATTCCCAGGCATTTACAAATTTCCTCTGCGCTGTAAGGCTCAGGATGTAATACCTCCTCGACAATGGTCAGCATTTCCTCTAGGCTAACTCCCAGCTTGCTTTGCACATCATGGAGTCTCAACATTTTTCTCCACTCCAGGCCTTTTGACTTTGAGAGAAGCTAAAATTAAAAAAAAAAAAAGAAAACATAAAATATTGTGCTTTCCTGTTTAAAACTTTTAGTTGTCTATAAGTACCTTTAAGGCCCATTTTCTCTTTTCACTTCTTAATTGAGAACCATCAAAACCTACTTTCTATCAGTAAAGAGCAGACAATTCTTATATTTATTATTAAAGGTCTGTGAATGACAGGTATTCTTCCCTCAAATCAGATACTGTCTGTAAAAGCCCTACTGGCATTATTGGTTTGAAATCAGATCAGTGATTTATCCTCTTCCATGGACTTTGTTACTTCAAGCACTTACCAACCTTTTACAATCCCATCTGGGCAACTCTTTATACAAATGCTATGATGCAGTAACACTAGAAGTCCTTAAAAAGTTTATTTCCATACTATTAGTATTTGCTCTAACATTTCAGTTTGGCATTTCCAATACACCCCTGGAATTTTCTGATGAACATTTGAGATTGTCATTACAACCTTTTCTCATAATAGCCTTAAAAACATGAAAGTGGTCATAAGATTTGTGGGGAGAATAACCATAACCTTTCTCAATCTCTGGAGTTTTAAGTAAAATTTAAGTACTTTCTTTAACATCAAATTTAAAGGAACTTCTGAGCCTTTAAAGGAGTGGTACAGTGTTGGTCTGAATCTGTTCCATTTCTACATGGTTGCTGTGATATTTATTAGTTATAGATGGATCTGCTTTCCCCACTCCTGGCAATGATACCATGCTTTGTGTATCTTTGGGATGTTTTGGCAGTTGACAGTCGTTACTACAACACACCAGAATCCTGAAAGACAGAATGTCCAACAGGCTTTTCTCTGGAAGGCTGAAATATGTGTTGATGCTCCTATCCGTCTAATGAAAATGGTAAAGCATTTTCACCTTTCCTCATAAGGTGAAATATTTTGATGTTATGAATGATAGATGAATAGTCAGTGGTCATTGACCTAGCACCTGTAATTTCAGCAGATTACAAAGTAAAACAAAGATTAGCAGGTACACAGCAATGTCATTTTATTGTGTTCACAGGCACATGGTGTGTGTCCAGTGCTGCACCATTTAAATTGAGTAAAACTTCCAAATCAAGCTGTATGTCTGGAAAGACTTTAAAACAGTATAGAAAGACCAGGGAATTAAATCCTTTTTCTATACAAATCAGCATTCAAATCTTTTATGAACAAGGCCAAGATTTCACCCAATGTGTTTAACTCTTTTCAATAAGCACCGGTTCAGAATGAGATTGGTTTGAAATAATTTTTCTCGATACATATCTGAAAAGTATTTGTTTTGTTTTGTGCAAAGTTACAGCATGAAATTTAAGCAGATCTGCTGCCCAGCTATCTGGTGTAGATTCTTGCTCTCCCCCAACAGAGCTTTTTTTGCAGGGGCCCCTCCAGTTTTGCTTTATTGCAGTATCTAAAAATTAACTACTTTTGGTGCCATCTAGTGACTCGCTGAGATTTATGTGAGGCTCAGCAGAGCAAAACAAACAAAATCCTCATCATATAACTTTGTTGCCATTTAAAACACAATTTTACATGTTCAGTGGTAGGGAAAGAAGCAGAACTGTTTAGTGCCTAATGCAGAAATCAGCATGAGACAATTTTTTCTGTAAAAGACTGGTTAAGTCACTTCTGGCCTCCTTTTTAAAGACTCTGAATACCTAGAACTCTACAGCCTTTATGTAATTTGTATATTACCTTACTTACTGATAAGTCAATTTAGTGCTTCATTTTAGTTAAATATGTTGTATGGTGGTGCATACACATCTTCTTCAAGGTGCTAAATGAATGGAAATTATTTTCCTCATGCTTTAATCCCAATATTTAGCATCCCCTGGACTTCATTATGAGAAGTTAAACAGAATTTACAAACAATAATATTCTATAAGGCAACAAAATGATTTCTACTGTCTTTTTTAATAAATAATCCCCTGCAGAAATATGCCACATGCATTGTCACATCTGTTCCCATTTCTTCAAGGGAGATGCTGTATTTCAGGCAAGCCTCCACACTGGGGCTTTACAGGTCAAATGTTCCAAATGGAAACTGACCCTGTTGGGCCAGTGGGCACAGCTTTGCTGGAAAGGTCTATCCTGCTTAGAGCAAAATTTTGATTCTAACAGCACTGGGAAAAATATTATGGGCAAACAGAAATGGTTTTTGAAAATAGTTTATCTGCAGCAGCTTGAATTGTAATGGACATGGAACAGAAATGGGGGGAAAAAATCCCATCTCTTTAATGTACAAAAACTAATCCCAATACTTCTCCCACAGCTGGATATTTTCTTGATGATCACTGACTAGATTGATTAAAGATATGGACATCAAGCAGCTCTTAACTGCCAGGATATAGAATCTTTGGGCTTTATTATTCTTTATTGTTCAACATAGGCACACTGGAAAACTGTGAGTAACTGAGAGGAAAACATACTTGGTAAATGATGGGACAAATATAAATACAAGAAAGTCTGACTAAGAGTAAGTCCAGGAATACTTTTATAGCAGCATCACTTCCTTGCACATAGCATTTCTATAATGCCATCTGAGCCCTGTGCCCAGGAGCTGATGGTGGCCCTGCAGCTGCAGCCACTGCTGGCCCCACACCAGGCTGAGGGTGAAGCAGGGAGGTGACATCCCCAGCCCAGCCGGGGGGAGCTCGGAGCAGTGAGGACAGGAAATGTCTTTAAACTGGAAACTCACTGTGACAGAGTGCAGGAGAGCACTGAGAGGCTGCTACAAGAACAGAGAGAGGGGAAGAGAAAGGCAAAAGAATGATTCTCTAGAGGGAAGGGAAAGGAACAGAATCTAAGAAAGATAATTTACCAGGATGATCAAGAACTCGCTGACTGATAGCAAAATGTTCTACACTAATGCTAGCAGGGATATGTTGTGTTGGCATCTTTACCTATGCAGTATAGCAGTATGAAATTCTAGAATTACCTAAAGCAGAAAAGGGGGGGAAAAGCCTATCCTAAGGCACTTAGAATGAGAATTTCTCTTAAAGCATCATTGCAAGGCCGAGCATGTTAGTTCATAGTTCCATTAGCTTAATGGTGCTTAAAAGACTTTCCTGTTTCAACTTACATACCTGCCCTCCTTCACCCCACTGTGACCTCTTCCTAAAGACAGACTTTTCCTGGCTCAATGTATTTTTATAGTGTGTGCAGCTTTCCATCTGGGTAGCATATGTTTAAAAACAGACAGGTGTATGTTGTTAGTCTCCTTACAGTCGAGCATCTGCTAAAAGTGCATTTTTAGAGATTGCATCATAGCTAACAGAAATGTAAAAGAAAAGATGTTTCCTTACTACCTCTTCAGTATACTGTACAGGACTAATAATTTAAAGCAATTTAGAAAACTGTGATTCAATTCACAAAGTCTGGTATATGGAACAATAACTTCAAAAGCTCTCACAGCTTAATAAGAAGTTCCTCTTAAAAACATATATTTTGTCCATTAGCAATCCCAAATTAGAAATTTATCAGTTATAACAGAACTAACAAATAGGCAGGTCCTTATCTTCATTTTCTTAATGGCTTAAAAATCTTATTAACTTCAGTGACAACAGCTTTAACTGTGGTCATTGGTGCTATTTGTTTTACCACATCTTAGATACAATGGAAATACAACTATTCCTTTGATACTTGAGTTTAAAGCCCATTTGAAAAGTCATCTGAAGTCTAGCTTCTCTCCTCAAAAAAATCTCAGCACATTATTTTTTAATACATTTTGTCAATGTCTGATCAGATCTTCAAGTATTTTTTAGCACTAAGTAAAACTTGTAAAAAATTATTTTTTAATGGAATCATGACACCAGCAAGAGTTCAAAGTACTTTTGAATATTGATCAGATATTGGTCTGATATTCTGTGGCAAGGAATTCCACATTGCATTTTTCAAAGCTTTTTTCTAGACTTTGTGACCCACATTCTGTTCTTTCCCAGAGCACCCTATGTTGGTGCAACTGCAGTGAATTTTTATGCTTACTCCTCATTTACTCTTATCAAAGAAAAATGTACTGTCTTCTCATGAAGAACTCAAATCAAACCCTACATCTACATGCTCCTAAACATACAAAATCCAGAATTAAAGCAGAACTTAGATTTCCCCTGTTCAGTTTCCATACACCTTAGAGATAATTTCAAGCTGTAAACTAGCAGTACACCCTAAATGTTGGGGTTTCATTCAAGCCTGTTTTTGAACTTTATGCTGAGACACATGCTGCTATTCAGCATTTCTAATTTTACTTCCTGGCCTTCAACTACTAGCTTGGATGCTCTCTAAATTCTAGAAAATACACATCTATTGCCATATATACATATAAACATGTGACCATAGTGGTTACTTTCCATTATTTGTCATTATTCAGCTTCTTCAGCTTTAATTAGAAACAGTCTATCTTATTAACTGGGAATATTTTTTTCTGAAAAATAGACTTATTTCCTCCACTGAAATATAATAAAAATAATTTAATAGAACTAAATCACATAATCTTCTATATAAGGACACAGTCCTTGTACTTCCATTAAGCTCAGCAGGAGTTCTGTTCCTGCATATGGAAGTGTCTGGTTCTGGAAAGAAAAATTATATAAGAGTAGCACCTAGCCAGGTGTTAAAGACACAACTGGTCAGAAGTGGAAAAAAGCACATATTTAGATGAAGGTTTCATTAGAGTTTGACATAAGCCATGCGTTACCTTTGTAGCCAGCCAACACTCCATTACCCTAATATTGTAATGAGAAGTTGCTGCTTTATTCATTTCAACACAACTGTTAGCAATAACAAACGTTGCTCCACTTGGAAGTCTAACATCAGTTGCCCTCAGTGGACTGAACTCTATCAACTTGGCCTATTGAAAGAAAAATGAATGGTTAGTTTTAATTTACTACTAGCTAACAGTGCACTTAGTTCTATAAATCAAATGCAAATTTGCGTGTTTTTTCTCTTGAAAATCCAGGCACAGTTAAGGAAAGAAAACTGACATGAAACAGGAAGAAAAGAGATTTAACCTCATTGGTCAAGTTACACATACACTTCAAACCCTTCCCTGTAGCTGGATTTTAAAATGTTTCCATTAAGTCTTTGGGTTTTTTCAGCATTTTACAGAACCCCACCCAACCTATTTTTCTTGCCTGTTTAAGACAACAGTTTCACTTTGATCTGCAGAGAAGTACCAGGCCTGGCTGAAGCTAATGTGCATGCCCCTAGAAACAAGGGGCTTTGCATTCCCTGCCCCTTCATCACTGTCCATCTCCCCCTCAGTCCTCTCATTCTGCACTGCAGCAAGATTAGTACACTGAGGTACAGTATGGGACCAACATTTTCAGACTGATTTGAGGCAGTGATCATGGTACATACAGACAATCAAACTGAGAAACTAAATAAAACTAAGTGTAAGAATGTAGTTACTGTTTCCTCCTGTCTGACATAAGAGACTGCCTTGCCTCACACATGCTTACACAAGCTGTGTAAGATGTTCCCAACATTTGTGACCTTTTCATGGAATAAGTTAGGCATCCATTAATTAAATAATTCAGGATGTAATGTAATCAAGAGATTAAATTCACATCTGGTTTTTCACTGGGGTAAGTTGTAAATCATGTGCCCTGTTTTGGCTTCTTAGAATAGACTGTAACTGTGCAAGCAGGGACATCTTACTGGTTTTGGCATTGTTCAACCCCAGAGAGTCCCTTGAGCAGCTAGAGTGCTAAATAAACAATGACAAATCTGCTTGTACATTATGTACAGCATATGTGTTACTCCCTGCCATTGAGATTCTGGACCCCATCACAGAATTCCTATCAAGACAGACAGACTTGCTTACATTTGAATATACTCTTTAAGATCTGCTCCATTAGACCAGAATGTACCACTAAGCTGGTCTAGTGTCCTGATTCTGACAGTAGCCATAAATGGCTATTTAGGGAGAATATAAAGAGAGAACATATACAAAGCAATCTTTTCTAGGGGTATGTTTTTCCAGATTCCCATAAGCAAAGATTACAATGGTTATACTCACACTGGAAGAAACATCTATTAAATTAGATAGCTACATACAGTTTAACACTCTCTTAGTGTATCCACAAAGGTCTTTTTTGAATCCTTTTAAAACTTCTGCCTTCCACAATGTATGGTATTTCTCAATTTAACAATGAATGTTTTGGGAAAAAACCCAAACTTCCTTGTTTGTTTTTTACAAGCTGCTTGCTAATGTCATTGTGTTTCTATTAGTTCTTCAGTTATGAAAAACATTGAATCCTCCATTTACCTTCTCTTTACTTGTTTAGGGAATCTGCAAACTTCAAAGTATCACCCTCAAAGCTTCTTCTTTTCCAAGCCAAAAAGTTTTAAATTGTTCAGTCAATGCTCATATTTTAAAAAATAGCTTTGATAAACCTCAGTGTCCTTTACTGTACTTTTCTCTTTTTTTTAAGATGGGTGGCTCAAGCTTCATTCAGCTGCAAATACACTGAAGCAAGGATATTTTTCTGGTTTGTTCACAATTCTTTTCTCATCTGTGTTAACGTTTTCTTTGTCTTTTTGGTCACCACTGCTATATATCGGAAAAGCTTCCACTTACATAATCGTGTCTGCGTATGGCAGGAAAATCTGCTGCTTCCTTCTTTCATTATTCATGTCACTGTGTTTTTACTACTAACAGTAAAAACATGAAGGAAAGGTGTAGAGTAGGTACAGTGATGTGAAATTGAAAATACATGTGTCTCATGATGGCATTAAATGTTTGGTGTAATTCTAGGAAATAGGGGTTTTTTTGTGTAAGGCAATCCAAGACATCTCATTAGGAACAAAAGCTGTAGAGATATAATGCCACAATCATAAGGAAAGTAAAGGTTGTTATGAAACACTACATTAATTCCAATAAAAGTACTTTGACAGGTCTGAGGTTTGAACAGTTGCAGTCCTGTGCACCTTCTGGGACAGCAGATGAACCTCACTGTAAATTCCTCTGCAAGCACTCATGCATAACTTGGCAGGCCCTGTTTATCACAGCTAGTTCACCTTCTGTCACCACGTTTAAGACTGCTAAATGCCTTCTACATCAAAATTCAGCCACAGAATTGTCTGGAATTAGCAAAACTGGTGGAAAAAAAGTCTCCATTGTCTTTGTAACTGAACCTGGCAAAACTTCCTAGAACTGTTTGGTTATAAGAAGTTTCAAGAAAGCATTTTTGTAATAATTATCCCATTTGCACTGAATACAAGGCACGCTGACCATTCAGATTTCATTATATGGGAAACATTCTAAGTTCAGCATGAATTAGCCAAATAGTGGAACCTGGTGCTCTTCTAGAGTACATCTTTCCCCCACATCTTTTCCTTCCTCCTTGCCATTTCTGATTTTTCTCATCATATCCATTCAAACTTGTCATACTCCAATGTACCCAAGTTTGTGAGTTTAATTCCTGATTCATTTGTATACCAATGGTGCTTGTACTGCTTATTAGGGTATTCCAGTTTCTAGTCTTGTCTTCTAGATACTAATGAAGGTATTTTTTTGCTTACATTTATTAATACTACATTGTTAGCTTAGATTACAAAGGTACACATACAGTTCCTTCTTCTGCCAGAAAAGAGATTGACTGGTCCATTCCTCCACCTTCTGTGCCAATGTAACGTTCGCTCTTTGTGCAAATTTCTGCAAGTTCCACCTGGAAAAATATTTACATGTGAACCTTCAGCCACAGTTAAGGATGATACTTTTATTCTGCTTACATATTAATTAGTGAGAAAACGAAGGAAACAATGTCAGAGTTCTGACACTATTATCTCTCACAAGTCAAATAACATATGCTGCTATCAACCAGGATGCCACATGGCCCCTTTTCCCTTTTTTTCTGAAGCAAAAAAGAACCAACTACCCAGCCTCCACAGGACCTACCACAACCAAATGCTTTTCAGAGTATCCTTGTTTAGACACTTAACTCTTGTAGCTGTCCTCCTCCCACCTTCCTTGTGCACTTCATATCCTTCCATCCCAATAGGCAATGATTTGTTGATTTAATTAGATGAATCCATCTACTTGGGAATCTCAGCTTAGCAAAAAATTGCAAGTTATTATTCCAGATTGTTTTAATGTACTGATTCCGTAATCAGGAATTACTCCAAAACTGTTTCTCACTGCAGATACTCAAGTCAGTGATGCTTGTTGTGTCTCCTTGAGATACTGTACTCTGCTTATCTGAACTAATTCATAGCTGTATGTGATGTGCATTCCTTTGTGACATTTTGGGCATATCTTTGTGCATTCTAATACCTGCACGTCAGAGGATACTATGGGAGGGTGGAATATCAATGTCATAACTGTCAAAAATAATAATTAACAGTGAAGTTTTCAGCTATCAGGCTAAGTCAAAACAAAACACAAGAGAAACTTTGGAAAATGGTCAAAGAACATAGAGTAGTCAAAAAGAAGTGGATTAAGAGGAAAGTATTTGTGTCCACCTATTATGACCCCTAGCAGTTTGTTTTTCTAAGCACAAGGTAACCCCAAGGAAGATGGGAAAAGAACTTTAGAAAAGCCACAGGCCATTTTCCAGTGGCAAAGTCAGATTCAGATTCCACAGTAAGGATGCAGCATTACAGGACTGAAAAAAGCTAAGCAGCAAGACAGGGACACTAGCCAGCACACAGCTGTAAAAGGCAGCAGATAGAGGCAATAAATCACGATGCTCAGAGAGGTATGTGCAGGGTGCCTGCCTGCTTGCTTGCTCAAGTCCTTTAATGGCCCCACTGACACAGCTGTAAAATTGGTGCTTGGATGAATGTAATCAGGCTGAACTGTTTGCAAATGCACTAACAACCAATTTACTCAGCTCACAGTGCAGTTATGGCCAATAAGCCTTAGGCTGATAAGCAGAAGTTATCAAAAAAACATTAACAAAGTTACTCTAAAACTATGCAGAGTGTATCTCTTTGACTCAAACATGGTAAAAGACAAGAAAAATACCATTAACGAGAGAACATTGAGAGTACAATAGCAAAAATACTCTCCTTTTTGGCACTGCCTTTCCTTTGTGTATTTTGAAGATGAGCTGAAACAATGTTTCTTTTATTTTTCTTGAGAAACCATAGAAACTTTGAAACTATAGAAACTATAGAAACATTGTGGCACTCTCTCTTTTTAACAAAACCCATTTCCCAGGTTAATGAAACTTCATTTTTCCTCCTTTCCCCATGTTCACTGAAGTCCCATTTCCAGTCCAAACCTCAGATCTCTTCATCCCATCAATGAAACTTTAACATGTAGTTACCATATCTCCCTGCTCCACTATGAGCTGAAAATAATTCTGAATGAAATGCTAATGAAGGCAGTGATGCTTTTTCCCATTTCATGCTAAAATACTCAGCAACAGCTCCACAGAAAATAACAGACCAGACCTCCACATGAGTGAGCAGTTTCTAGATGCTCACTCCTTTCTACATATGAAGGTGTGCCTATTTACAAACATCTGTTACCTGAGTGTTTTACTCAGTTCTGCTGAACCTGCCTTTTGTCTCTCTGAGAACACGGCAATACCACATCCCTAATTGTTGTTGCCACTGGCAGGAGCTTTCAGACTGGAGCTTATGGGTATTACTTACTGTGTGAGAAGAACCACGCTGGCAGATGGGCCATGTGCACTCAAGTAGGAGCTGTGGCTGTGCAAACCTGGCCTGAAGTACAGCTCCTGAGGTACTCCCAACATAAATTCTGTCCTTGGGTACAGCTGCCTGAGCTATTACTTCATCTGCAGCTGCCAGATAAAGCTTGGCAAAGTCAGAAATGAGGCATTTCACTCTTCACTTAGTCTGGCTGCATCTCTATCTCCACATACACATCAGCTACCACTTGATTGCCTAAATTGTTTAGACTTTATGAGCCTAGGCTTATTAAATGAGTATCAGGAGAAGCCTTGCAGAGGAGGAATGTTAACAATTAGGACAGTGCCACTCCCCTGTCCCTTTACAAGGTCTGGTGAACTGTGCCTGGTTGAGCAGCAGGCCTTGCTGGGTCCTGGCTCTCCAGCTGTCCAGCTGTGTATGCCGGGCAGGCAGCGCTGCTCCAGCTTGAGCAACTTCTTTTTTGAAACTTAGCAAGGATTGGCAGGACCACCAAGTAGTAACTGGCAAGGGTTGCAAAGAACCCTCTCCACAAGACAGCCCAAGGCATCCCTGAAATATTATTTGGTTTCTAATTTAAACGGGCCCTTGCTGACACAGGCTGGCTTTAATACTAGGATGAGAAGCATGTGAATGGAGAGGAAATTGTCATTGTATAGAGAGCAGTTTCTACTTACTATTGAGACAAATGGGCAAATGTTTGCCTTTTGCTAAAATGAGTGAAAGGGCAAAGTTTCATTGGAAACTAATGTGAAGACTAAACTGCAAAGCCTTGTGTACATTTTTGATACTTGGAAAAGGATGGCCATATGACTGAAACAGTGAACTGAATTTCAGGAGGTCTGGGCTCAATTTCTAGCTCCACATTAAGTTTCTTGTGAGTCAGGGAAAGTCTCTTTAACTCATCACAGCTCCATTTCCTCAATAAAATGAGGAGTATCTTCCCCCTCTTTCTAATTACTAATTGCTACTTGGGATTCTTACATGATAATGCTATAAATATGTGTGACTTCATTGCTAGAAAGTGAAAAAATCCCCATTTTACTACACAAGTTCTTAGAGTTTAGACTTCCACGGAAAATATCTCTAAGGAAAAAAGTCTGTGAGAACCATGTAATAAAAGGAAATAGCTTTTGCCTATCTCAGAGCAATGCCTTGTCTCCTTTCAACTTGCAACACCCAGAAGCTCTTTAGGGCAGAGACTGTTTGGATCATCTGCTATTTATACCTTTTCAGTGTACGTCTGACGTGTAAAAATACAGAGCTTCTCAGATCCCATATTTCACTGCATAACTTGGCAACATCTCAAATATCTGCCTGAACAATACCTGAGCACAGCACTTCCTTCTGGATGCACTGCAGAGAAGTAACTCACAGTCACATTTAGGGGAACTGCACCACAGCATCACCTGTCAGGCTGGTAGGTTAGAGGGGCCTGACACTCCTTGGCAGACTTCCAGTTACAATTGTTATGTGTATAAAATAAACAGTGTTAGCCTCTTGAGTTCTGCAGAAGTCCTAGAACAGGTTTTCTCACTGAACTCAGGCAGATATTTGTTCCTCATGAGGCACTATGAGAAATACAGAGAATGAAAAAACCCCATCTGCACATAGACTCCACTTGCATCCCACACATTCTGATTCATATGACAGACCACTTTGAGCCAGCCACGAAACATAGCTTGTTCTAGGCACTCAAGGTTCATTAGCATGCTTTTCCATCCCTAAAGCAGTATTTCAAAAATACTAGTAAATCACAATTTAAATCTTCATAGAATTTTACATAGTTTACTTTAAAAGCATTCCTATAAGGCTGCTGTTATCTTCAACTTAGAGACAGCACAGATACTTACATGATTTGTTCAAAGTCATGTGAATCAGTCACAAAGATGAAATGAGAATTCAAAACCCTCCCTATTTCCAGCATTGTGGCTTATTCTGTAAGGAATATAGTCTCATGGAAACAGCTGCAGGGTAGATGTAAAATCTTATTCATATTATGGTAAGGAGAAGAGGAACAGAGAGATACTAAAATCATAGTTAAAATGGGTCTAAATAGTAACATTATGACTCTGCAAAAAAACTACTTAGATAAATGAAAAATTTCCTTAGCTCACCTATTGTGAGGTCTACATATGTTACTGCCCTCTGAATTTCTGTATTATTGTTTCAGGAAGTTGTTCCAACAGGACTAACTAGACCAGCTAAACTGTATCATGCAGACAGTAAGCCCTAAGCTGTCATCTACACTATTAAACAAGCAAAGTGATATATTTAATACAGTAATTCAAAAAGCTCAAACATCAGGAGATGTTTCCTTTGATCTGACCCCCCTGCAAAAACCCCTAAAGAACCCAACAACCTAGCCAAGAAGGGAAGTGCACATAATCACAGAATATCCTGATGTGGAATGAACCCCCCAAGGATCTCTGAGTCCCTCTCCTGGCCCTGCCCAGGACAAGCCCCAGAATCCCAGCATGTGCCTGAGCCTGTAAGTAAGGGCTTGTCAGCTGGATAAATTCATTAATAGACTTGAGTCAGAATAAAAATATAGAATATATGAAGATAAAGGCAGCCTCTGTGGATCAAACCAATACCACTTCTAGTCCTGTATCTTGTAATTGAATGTGGGCTCTTAGTATGGACCAAAGGCCAAGTAAAGATCTTATTTCCCCAGGACTTTATGTTGTGATCGGGAGTTCCCTAAGCTGAATGTCAGTTCTACACCCTTAGTTACCAACAGCAGATTTTTATATGTGGATTTGTCCAGACTCCCTTTTAACTTATGCATAACTTTAACATGTAGATCATCCAGGAACAAGGACTTCTACACCTTGTCAGGTGAAGAACTGTCTCCTTTTGTCAATTATTAATGTGTACCTGATTAGCTTTATTTCATACCTACTGGCTCTAAACACTTGAGGGAGCAACAAACAATGATTCCCACCCACTCAATCAATTAAATTCATCATTTGATGGATCTCTGACCCTTCCTCCTTTAGGTGATTTTTCCATAGTCCTAACATGCTTTTTTATGGTGGTCATTCTG